ACACTCCCGATTGTTAAGAAAAAGGGAAATTAAAATTTTGTTTGTTAGTATCTTCTAGTTACTACTCAAATTCGATAATATTTCACCATAGTTTATTTTTATTTTTATTTTTTTTTGGTGGCAAAACGATAATTATGCTTTTATTTTTTCTTAATTACCTAATCTTCTGCGTCAAAAAAAGGATATTCGGATGGATACCTTTTAACGACTGATTAAAAAAAAAAATCTAAATGAAAATCATGAAGGTGAATGTTGTATAATTTTCTTGTTAACTAGCTAAACAATTGGAAATTAATGTAGAATGTTCTCTCCCTAATTAACATATTACGGTAACAGGTGGCTCAAGCAATTTGAGAGCACTGGTTTTCAAAAATAATATTATAGAATGATTGAACGAAGTAAACAATTTACGGTTCATGATCTTAACGGAAATCAATAATTGTCCAATGATTCAGACAAAATTACCAATGAGCCCTGCTCCCTGTTCCCGGCTTGAAGACAGGGTTAAAAACAGGGGCGTCATTGGAGGGGCGTCTGCCCTTGACAAGCATCCCTCCAATAGGGGGGGCGCCCCTGTTTTCAACCCTGTCCCCAAGCCGGGACAGGGGGTATTATTCATTACCAATAGTAATACTATCGTTAATTTAAGTGTCAACACATATGTTTCATATTATCGACTACAACAATTTTGGCAATTGCTGACAAAACGACTGTCGATTTCATTGACAGAAATGATTATTTCTTTGTTACTTTATTTCATTTCATTAAGTTAACAGCAAAATATTTTGTCAGTAATTTTTGATATATTTAGCCAGGATTAAAATTTAATTTTTAGGAAATTTCAATAAAAAAAAATGGTAAACGGACTATTGGTAAGTTGTGAATCTCAAAAAATATGTAATTAAAATTAATTATTAATTTTAACTTATATTAAAATCATGATTTTCATCCCTACCAAACATATAATAATAATAATAATAATAATAATAATAATAATAATAATAGACCCATCACAATTTAATGGTCTTTATATGCATAATTTGGTTCCAAGCAAGTGTGCAGTTCCCATCAACATGACCAAAAAAGTTGCAATGAAAAGACAACTATTACATAAAAAGCTAAATGAGCTGGTTATGAAGAAGACTATCAATCTCTGCAGATTCTCTTATTATGATAGCAATCATTTAATTATTGACTAAAATTAAATTATTATAATTCAAAATCTAATGCTTTTAGAATTAAATTTCGTAGATCATCGTCGTACAGTGTTTTTTTAATTTTAATTTCGGAAAATAAAGAATTTACTTTAATTTATGCTTTTTTTTAAAAAAAAAGAAAAAGAAAGCGATTGTTTTAGGATCAAAACTCTCAAGATTTTATAATTTTGTTTTGGAATTTAAAGTTTTTTTCCTTAATTTTATATATATATATATTTTTATTTTTTATTTTTTATTTTTGTGAAAATGGGCTTAGTTTATTATTATCATTAAACTTATAATCAAAATAAAAAGATGAATTTGTTCAAAACTAAAAAAAAAATTATTTAGGCAAATATTTCGTAGTTCCTAATTTGCGCCTTCATTAATTATAACTGCGACTTCCTTTAATTATACTTTTATTGGAAGTCACGTTTCGAATCAACTTTATACTATTACGTACCTTAATTGCAACATTATCCAATAGCTTATGGTATGCTATAAATAAATACTCGGTGGATATTTAATATGCTGACTCAGCGCTATTCGTTTTCGTTCATGATATTCTTAAGTTAAATTTATTATTTTATCTTTTTTATTACTTTTCTTAAATAACTGAAATGAATAAAATTAAAGAAGAAACATAAATTGTCCTGTTTGACTCTCTCCATTTCAATATTTTTTATTTCTTATTTTCAACCATACATTCAGACAATAAGATATTCTGTATGTAAACGCAAAAAAATTTCATATTGTTTAACCATGCATTCTTAAAAAATTTACAATTTAAAACGTCATTCCCCAATTTCTCCTTATGATGACCATCAAACGAGAACATTATAAATTTTTGTTTTTGAACGAGAGTGTATCAAAAATGTCTTTGAAGTTCCTTTTATTGCGAAGTTACGTGCCACAATTGATGTTGCACCATGAACTCATCAAGTTAGGATTCATAGATCAAGAAGTCGTTTGGAGAATTGATGCCCAAGGACGAGGTGAGAAATGTTCTTCGGCAAGCGTTAATGTAATAAGTTAACCTAGAGTAGAAAAATGTTTAGCTCAACATCACACATTCTGAAAAAGGGATGACATAGACTCGTTAGGCTAATATTGAAGTAAGTCTTGCATAACAAGTTCCAAAAATATGAAACATGGGTGAACGTGTCTTGAAGTTTCAAGAAAATATGACTCAAAAATCGATCAACAAAGATACTTGTTTTGTCTAACGTGTTTGGCCTTTTCCACTCTCCATAAAGCTTCGAGGCCATTACGAAGAAGAAACACAAATCAACAGATGTTTATTTCTTAATTTTCATTTTCTTCTTTAAAATCGCTAAAGAAGTGTGAACATAAAATTTACTATTACATCTGAAGATATCTTTCATTTAAGGATACATAAACGAATACCATAACATTAATTGTACCATGTTTAGATGACAATTAGGTGATATTAATTGTCATATATCATTTTATCCTTATCCTTTCATTTAAGTTTACACATAAATGCCACCTAATTAAACAGGTCAAAAGTTGTGATATGTAGCATCGAAATAAGGAAATAAAATAAAATATTAGCAAATTTTTAATAGTAAATCTTATTTATTTTTTTAAATTAATATCCA